CAACTTTCTTTTTCTTTCTTTCCAACTTTCTTTCCAACTTTTCTTTCTTTCTTTCCGAGTAACTTTTTTCCAACTTTTTTTTTCCATTTTCGAGTTTTTTTCTTTCCAACTTTCTTTTTTTTTCTTTCCAGTAGCTTTCTTTCTTTCTTTCTTTCTTTCTTTCCGAGTAGCTTTCTTTCCAACTTTTTTCTTTCTTTCTTTCTTTCCAACTTTTCTTTTTTCTTTCCAAATAGCTTTCTTTCCAACTTTCTTTCTTTCTTTCTTTCCAGCTTTCTTTCTTTCTTTTTCTTTCTTTCTTTCTTTCTTTCCGAGGTTTCTTTCCAACTTTCTTTCTTTTTTATTTTTTCCGATTTCTTTCTTTTTTTTTTTTCTTTCTTTTTTCCGAATTTCTTTCCAACTTTTTTTCTTTCTTTCTTTCCTTTTCTTTTAATTATTCCTTCTCTTTCTTTCCAGTTAGTTTTTTTTCTTTGTTTTTTTTCTTTCTTTCTTTCCTTTCTTTCTTTCTTTCAAGGTTTCTTTCCCAGAAAATTTCCGAGTCTTTTAGCTTTTTTCCAACTTTCTTTCTTTCTTTCTTTCCAGTAACCTTTTTTTTAAATTTCTTTCTTTCTTTCCAGTTTTTTTTTTCTTTCTTTCTTTCTTTTCTTTTCCTTCTTTTTAATTTAATTTTCAACTTTCTTTCTTTCTTTCTTTCCAAAAGCTTTTTTTCCAACTTTTCTTTCTTTCTTTCTTTAAAAAAAATTTCTTTTCTTTCTTTCCGAGTAGCTTTCTTTCCAACTTTTCTTTCTTTCTTTTCTTTTCCGAGTTTCTTTCTTTTCCAACTTTTCTTTCTTTCTTTCCTTTCTTTCCAACTTTCTTTTTTCTTTCTTTCCAGTAATAAAAGATTTCCAACTTTCTTTCTTTCTTTCTTTCCGAATAGCTTTCTTTTCCAACTTTCTTTCTTTCTTTCTTTCTGAGTAGCTTTTTTTCCAACTTTCTTTCTTTCTTTTCCGAGTAGCTTTTTTTTTCAACTTTCTTTCTTTCTTTCTTTCAAGTAGCTTTCTTTTTCTTTCTTTCTTTCTTTCCAGAATTTTCTTTCATTTTCTTTCTTTCTTTCCAGTAGCTTTCTTTTCCAACTTTCTTTCTTTCTTTTTTAAAAATCTTTCTTTCTTTTTTTCTTTCTTTCTTTCTTTCTTTCTTTTCTTTCTTTCTTTCTTTCCAACTAGCTTTCTTTTTTTTTCTTTTTCTTTCCCGAGTAGCTTTCTTTCCAACTTTCTTTCTTTCTTTCCGAGTAGCTTTCCTTCCAACTTTCTTTCTTTCTTTCCTTAGCTTTCTTTCTTTAGAAATTTCTATCTATCTATCAATCTATCTATCTTTCGTGTTTCTTTCTTTAAATATCTATCTCTATCTATCTATCTATCTATCTATCTATCTATCTATCTGTATATATATATATATATATATATATATATATATATATATATATATATATATATATATATATATTGTCTTTCTTTTTTTTTCTTTTTACTTGACAGTTATCCAAATGTCTGTTAATATTTCTTTTCTTTCATTTACTTAGACTGTCCCCATTAATGGGTTCAAGTATTAACCAGAATTCTTATTTTTAATTTTACTTTTCTTCTTTTATTATTAGCTATAAATCATAGTGCGTAGAAGCCCAGGAGGAAAAAACATGTTTTTCTTTTCCTACCCATATTCTTCTTTCAAATAGGTTTCTCTCTGAATACTTCTACGTTTCCGTCTAAAATATTCGCTCATTGCAAGGAGACAGGTGCTACACACATTTACGTTAAGTTAGTATATGTTTACGCTAATGTTACATTTGATGTAAGCGCAGGCAGCAGATGGATCATTATAGTTAATTCAAATCTTAAAAAGAAAAGAAAATTGGATCTCAGTGATAGGTCCTGTAGAGGCAGGCCTGTCGCTGCTATGAATGATGATACAGGTAAAGATGTAAAAGACTTCAAGTTTTTCTTGGTAGTGCTTACGATTTAGTACAATCTTTTGGCAACTGTCTGAAGAATGCTGAAAAAACAAAGGGTGCGGCGGGCTAGTTCCCAGGATCTTCTAGTGCACAGATAGCAGTTTTCTAAGCCGGAGAGCCATCGATGAATAAGCCTTAGTTAACCACGATGAGGATAAGATCGAAAGAAGATCTATTTTTGGTGGGAATGGGGTAAGGGTAATGCTAATGGTACTTTTCCTTTCAGTAGATGCAGCTATTGATTCGATGAAGTCATTCTACTTCAAGTCAGTGAAAACGTGATGCCAAAAAGGACGCAGTATGTTACTCTCCTGGTATCTGGCGTCAGCTTTGTTGATGCCATGCAGAAAGGGTTCTTTATGGTGGTTAAATGAAAACAGTTTTGTTTTTGAGCTTTTGTTGTTCTGGCGGACTTAACGGTGAGCAAACGTCACTTTTTGAACGGGCCCTGTGCCGCAATTGAGGAAGAAGGTGGGTGTCCATTTTTAGTATGATCTCTGGTCTTCTAGTATTAAATTTGTCGACATTAAGGAAAATAGGCCGTTACATTTTCACTGACACTCGTTGCAATAATATGTGAGACCAATTGTTTAAAACTTTTTTTTTCTACAGCAAAGCATTCCACTGGTAATTTCCTAAACTTATCTTAGTGTATTCAAAGGTAAAAATAGAGGCGTACCTAGAAATAAATAAGCTTATTTCTGGAGTTTGGGCTCTGTGGGGAGTTACGCTATCAATAGTTATTCTCAGATCTTACTTTACTCTGTCAAAGTAGTAAAAATCTAAGAATGTTGAAGTTTGAAAATGCTAGCAGCGTAATAGATATCTGCGCAGTGTACAATTTGGTGAGCCGAGTTCAAATTCTGGAATAGCCTGTTGCGTTCGTTTTCCAACTATTGTCCTCTGAATCCTTTTCATTTCCTTGCAGCAATTGTCTAAAATCCGAATTCTAAATCCACTTATATCAATTCAAAATAGAAATAGCACGGATCCCCTCATAAATATGTTAGATCACCTATCCAAACACAAAGTAAATTTATTAAGTTGGATACAGAGTAAAATGAACAATCAGAAAGAACTGACAAAGCAGCAAAGAAGTCACTAATTATGGATCTATCAAATACAAAAATCCCATACAATGATCTCCGATCAACCATCACTAAGAAAAATGGTAACAGTCATGAAATAATTGTCTTGATAATGAACTACACAATATTTATCCAATCATCGGTGAATGAATCTCTGGCTACCAGAAGGTAAGAACAATGGAGGTGGTTCTTGAACAAGCACATGTTATTCACAGACATTTATTAAGGAATGAAATCCTACCAATATGTTAACAATTTCAGGAGTGGTAGACGGCCAGATACATACTGTTAGAATGTTGCAGCTTCCTGGAAATCTGAAACAATTATTACAGAAAGAATAATGTTAATGAAACTTTTGAAAACATTAAACCAGATAATATACTGCGATTTTTTTAAGCTTTTCACCCCAAACAAGGCGGGAGTGCCACTAGCACGCAATGGGGTTACAGAGAGTAAATGTTGTGGATTCCGGGTTGAAATCCGGTACCAATAAATAACAAACACCAGGATGTATATATGAAAATAATGTATTAATGTAATAATACAAACTGGTAAAGCAGGTTAGTAGTTCCAGGAATACGGGTTAGTAGCAAAATATATATATACAGTCTTTTGGTATTGAAGAATCGCTGTATGACTTCTTACTGAGTCTATGTGCTCGCTCACTGTGACTCCTACAATGCTGTTACCCCACCCTCACTCTTCCGGTTACCTACAAGCTTTTACTCTGGACTCGACTCGACTCGACTCGACTCTTCGGTCTTGCTCCCTCGTCTCGCTCACTCAGGTCTTCCCGTAGCCGTAGTATATGTATATACTGGGTGAGTCCATTTGTGTAAAAAGGGGAAAACACCCCCAACAGTAAAGAGGCGTGAAAGAGGAATGGATGAAGAGAAATGCGGGGAATAGATCAAAGCATCTGAAGTAGAAGAGACGGCTACATTTAACTGTTTCGACAGTGAAAGGGTGGGGACTGAGATGCCAACCTAGTAGCACGCTTAAATTCATACAGTTTGGGAACTAGCGAAAGTAGCTGACGAGCTACTTTCGCTGGATTAAACTAAATTCTACATGCAGTTAACTTTTTTTATTTGTAGAAAAAAACAGAGGAGGCGATGTCACATCAGTGAGAGAGCAACTGTAAACGAGATGCCAGATCAAGACCAACGACATTGCATATCCGTCTCTGGATTTTGTCGAGGACCTTAAGACAAAAAGCGGGGGCTCCAGACCATATATGGCAGCAGTATTCAATGCAATGGCGAATGATTAATTTATAGATTTGAAAGATGAACTCCGGCGAGAAAAAACCTTCTGGCGCAACACAGAGAACCACCTTTCCTTTCCTTCCTTTATTAAAAAAAAATTGTCTTTACAAGAAAATATTCAAAAATATGTTTATAAGTGTTTACACAAATAAAAAAAAATTAACTTCAACCATTCTTGACAAACAATAAAACATGTTTTCAGAAATAACGACGAAGAATAAATTTTCTCTACCATACTTGGGAAAGAAATTCCTTCAAACATGCATAACAAACTATAAAATTTCCTTCCAACCATATCTGAAAAACTAAAAGCTTACTGTTAACCATACTTGACGTACTATAAAATATGTTTAAAACTCAATCAAATTGGTCCTAAGTTATCTACAAGAGGTCGAGGTGGGTGGGTTAAACACAAAAGTGTTTAAAGTATTTTTTTAATCTTGATGCATAGTATTTGTATTAAACTTTTCAGTTTTTAATACAAAAAGGGGAACGTAATGTAATATGTTATATACATAAAGAACAATCAACCTAGATGGCAATTCAAGTTTATAAAGAAAAGGAATCTGCGGAAAGTCATGACTGCTTATAGACCAAAGGGTTATTTAATTTTTAGAATGGTATATGAGACCGACTTGATCACCTACGGCGAGGTGACCAATTATATATATATTTTTTACTAATTCTATATTGGTGTAAAACTAAAACTACTAAGAGTAAAACTAAGACTAGTAAAAGTCGAACTTTTTGTTAATGTCTATGTGACAAAACAGCCAACTACCGTTAGAAGGTGGGTTGGGCGAGAGGGTTGGCTTTTACTATACTTAAACTCTTATAGCAGAATATACGAGTGGGCGGCATCCAGGAGGATAGACTAAACAAAGATTCAAAGAATCGGCGCGTACGATCGATTACATATGGCAGCAGGAGTGTGGTACCCACGATGACCAGGGTAAGGTAAGCAAGAAGATCGCCTACAAACAAAATTAGGAGTACGGGACTCATGAGGATATATCGGAAATCAGCAGAACGAAATCCGCGTAAACCAAATACACTAGACATCAGAAGTGCGTAATCAACAAAAATTAAATGCACTATCAGTTATGCGTTACCCAGAAGGATCGATTGAGTGAGTGATTTGTGTTTTAGGCTTCATCAAACTTTTGCAAAGTCCAAAAATATTTATTGATTGTAAGACAATTTTTTGGCTAAAATAATGATTTCGAGATACAAGTCCTACTAATTAACCCATAGCTAGTGGAGAAGAGGCGGCTTCATATATTTTCCAAGTGTATTTTTTACGTAAGTAAGTATGACGAACCCGACTGGTATTGAAACTAGGCGATCCAATTTCCAATTCCGTGCCGTTAACCTTTACACCACTCGCACATCCAATTTTACAGCACCTGATATTGACAAGGGATTATCAATTTCGGTACAGACCAGTCTCGATTACACGAGGAACCAGAATAGTGGCAGCCACGAGAATCGAAAACAGGTGTATTTGGAATTCGGCACGAGTCATCTGTGGAACGCTATGATCACCTACATCATGAAAAGACGTGCTATGCAAATATATAAACAAATAAAAAATATGACGATCAACCAAAAAAATAATTAATAGTAATCTAATTATTGCAGCTGTTTTCGAAAACAAACTCTAATCAGTTGTTAAGTGAGGCAAGAAATGGCTTCAAAAGTTTAACAGCACTCAAACAAACTGCTAACTGTTAATCATCATAGAGAATCCTTTTTGCCTACTATCAAAATGGCTGATGATGACATCCAGAAGAGTAACCCATTGCGCTTTCTTGGCGTCATGTTTTCCACTGAGATGAAGTGGAGTTATTATATTGAATGAATTGCAAGAGATACTGTTATGAAAGTTGGTTCACTGTGTCTTCCCAGACAATCTTTATGTCAGAATCCGTTTTGCCCATTTATAAACCTATTATTCGTCCATGCATTGAATATTGCTGGTATATAGGGTCTGGATCGTGGGCTATATATCTCGAGATTCCAGACAAAATCTAAAGGAGGGTCTGTAATGTTATCGGACCTCACCTGGTATAAACTACATGTCATTTTCCAAACGAGACGAGACTTCCCTCTCTCTATTCAATATATATTTACATAATTTATATCTATTTAATTTATACGCCGTTTAAAGCTATCTGATACTGTAGAAATCTTGTACATTGAAAATATGAATATAAAACATTAATTAATCTTTATTTAAAAACTTTAGCTAAATACGTAGCTATATTTCGATTGCGACCGAAAATTTCGGCCACGAAATTACTTTATTTGATCTTTGTGGGCTCAGTCTACCCGGATTTTAGGTGGAAAATAAACCCCGAGTATCGTGACCTCAAATACAACACAATTATAAACAACACGAAGGATTGATCATCGCAGAAAAAGATGACCAAGTTAAATATAACAACATTTATACACGCAGGCATACGTATTTACCTTTTAAAAATCAATGTTCTTTGTTGTGGCTATGAAGAGACCAATAGTTAGATTGTTCGAAATGATTTTGTTACAATTGAGGAAAACAAACATAATTGTACGCCAATATGTGAGTGTGTATGTGTGTGTGAATCACACGTTAAGCGAGTGTGTATGTGTGTGTGTGTGAGCACACGATAATGAATTGCTTCGTATGTTCGTCAGTGTAGAAAATTCCTCGTTGACTGACGCGTGTGTCTATGCTGTTGATTGAGGCAGGATCATGTTCGCTGACTGATTTTCGCAGATATAGTCACTGCCGTTTTTATGGCTTATGGCTTGCCGGTGCTCGCCTCCGAATGACTACCTGAGTTTTGTGCGGAAATGTACTCCGTATACAAACCCTACTCTTTGCCAGTCCATTTGGAGTTCAACTACGCAAACGTCAGAGAAAGCACATCAACTGACTTGTTTTATCCAATCAAGTTCCTGAAACTACTTATTTACTTTGGAGCCCTGTTCGTAAAGAATTGTAAAAAAAGGATTCGTATGTAATTAATTTAATAAGATTTATTTGTAAACGTCTCTTACTTGTTTGTGCTTCCTTTACTGACCATAAAATAGGTACCTACACTCAGTTTCGATACCTTGATTTAAAATGAATTTTTATAAATGAAAACCTTGCGTAAATCTTTCATCTTATCGTAATTAAAAGCTGAATGAATAAATTTACAATTTACAGCAAGCAAAATACTCTGGTGTATTTCAAATAAAATTATATTGATTGGAATCTGAACTTTTTGCTCGCTTTCATAAAATCGGTCATTTTTGACAGATTTGTAAAAAGTTTATTCTCGATTTTAAAATGTTCCGGAAATAAAATATTTTTTTAAAATTTTATTTGAGGAATATTAGCTGATATAAAGTATAATTAATCTGAATTGAAAAAAAAATTATTTACTTCAAGTCTAAAATGACAGAGAAATGGATTTTTAAAACAAACATTAGCAGTGATTACACGCTTATCAGCGTCGCTTCTCACGCGTAGATCACTTAATAACTGCTGATAAAATGTGTCAACACTTTTACTGTTGTTCGACGGAGAATTTATCAGTTAAAACATAATTTAAGAGAATGACACGTGAGTGCCTTTTTATATATATATAATTTTAAAGTACTGAGTAATCTTAAAAATGTTGGAAAATATTCTCCGTAATTTAATTTTAGGAATGTTGAATTTAAATTTACTATAGTCATCGCTCTTATTTTCTGAATATATCCTATATGTTCGATCATACATTCAAAATTGATGCATCGTATTTCTATTAAACTTTTCAGTTTTTGATTCAAAAAGGGGCACGTTATGTAATATGTTATATACGTAGAGAAGAATTTTAAAGTGTTTTTTTAATCTTGATGCATAGTATTTGTATTAAACTTTTCAGTTTTTAATACAAAAAGGGGAACGTTATGTAATATGTTATATACATAAAGAACAATTTTAAAGCATTTTTAACCTTCTTGCATAATATTTGTATTAAACTTTTCAGTTTTTGATTATTTAATATAGTTTTCACTTAATAACTATACCAACTAACCATTTGAAAGTAATGCCGAATTTTAAAAGATATATATATTATGTATTAGAAATTATTATCATTAAAATGTAAGAAAAAAAAAAGAAGGAATTCTTGTAAAAATTCCTTAGTGTCCTTAATAAGTCTTATTTATAAAAGCAATTAAATTCTTTTCTAATTTAAATAATTTATACCTTTATTGCATTATTTTATTTTACGATTCGGAGCCGATTTTCGTGAAATGTGCAGTAGTTGGAAAAAAAATGATGATTTACATTCTCCAAGGTGTCCTGCTTTTAACTAATAAAACAAATTTTGAGACTGAAATTTAATTTCTCGATATTTTATCAGATTAGGTAAGTGGGTGAGGGTAAATTTTTGTTTCACTTGAAAAAGGCTCAAAAACACTAATCGTAAATATTACGTCGACCACTGACGTGAAAGTAATCAAGATAGTTAACCTAAATTTTGAACAGAACTAAAAAGGATGAAAAAAAATCAATAAAATATTTTTAAAAATACTTTTATCTTTCCTCTTAATAACATAAACATTTTGACGATAAAACTTTGTTTTTATTAAGTTTGGGGCCTTTTTTCACCATGCTATGTTATTTTTCTTTTCAGCGAGTAAATAGAGGTACCTACCGTAAAATATAAGAGGTTCTATTCTATATTTTAAACGGCAAACATCATCAGTTAATGGTATCAGTGGATATTCATCAATTGTTACGTTCTGTGTGATCTCGGGATACTCACAGTACTCATAAAACGGTATCAACCAAAAGATTCATTTATTTTTTTGCTTATTTGTTTTATTCGGAGTGGCAACTTGGATTTTATGAGGCAGTAAGAGGACTGGGTCCCTCAGCGGGTGGTATAAGCCGGTCTCAAAGCTGGGTGTTGGGGGCATATCGACGGTTCAGACTTCTTCAGACACTCTGTTGAATTCACGCCGTTTTGAAATTATATTGAAAACCAAAAACAAAGGCAATCCATCACTGTCAAAATGCCCCGCCCACCAGACAATCCGGCCAATCGCTGACCATTCTGGCTTTTACATTCTGCAACACAATATATTATATGAACGTTTTCCAGCCATACGGGCGTCATTCCTTCAAGTTTCAAGTCTAAATGATTAACTGGCAACTCTAAGTTTCCTGGGGAATATGTCTTTGCAAATTAAGCAGGAAAAACGAACCAACGACAATTCTCTGTCAGCATGCAAGCTTCTAGAAGAAGAAAAAAAACAGGAAAAAAATGTGACAACTTCGGAATGCATCATAGTGTATGATAATGTTAAAAAAATACCCGCTTTAAGAAACGAATCCTTTTTTTTATTTTCCTGCAAAAGATTGATACTCCGTAAAAATCAACTATAGGTTAATTAGTAAGACGCATATCACTAAAATCAATTTGAAACACCGATTCTCTATGATCACTGAAATTAAGCAACGCAAACCCTGGCCAGTACCTAGATGGGTGATGATTAGTAAAAGCTCTATGAGTAAATCATTACTATCTCCAAAAACATTTTCCAATCTAAACATATTTTCGTGTTTTAAATAACCTGAAGAATCCGTAAAAAAAGAAACAAAATTAATTGCGACATCTCTGAATATTACACCTTTATTCAATCAACGAGGCTAAATTGTTCTCATTCGATTTTCAGCTGATTTTCGTATCAGTTAGTGCTTTTCAGTTTGTGTTCATTTGTCTGGATATGACGGTAGTGTAAATGTTAGCCGCTCGGAAAAAAAGTAACTTGGATGTGCGGGTGGTGCAATGGATAATGGCTCTGAATTGTTAATTTGATTCCAATTCTAGTCGGGTTCTTTATATTTAATTAGGCGCAAATACTGTCGGGAAAGGTATAAAACCACATCTATCAGCTATGGGTCAATTAGTAAAATTTGTATTACTAAAATCATTATTATCTAATCATTAAAAAAAAAAAATTCTTACAATCTAAAAATATTTTCTGGCTTTAAATAACATGCAATGGGTTGATAAACCGTAAAATACAAAACAACCAATCAATCAATAAATGTGCAAGACGGATTCCAACAAGACAAGTTTTCAAGCACGATACAGCGAACCGATATTCCTAACCACAGCCCCCCCCTTTTGATTCAACATAATCATTCAACATCATGTCAGGGAAAAACGGGAAACTAAGGAGTCGTAATGCGTTGCTCTACTAGAGGTTAGCATCAGCCATGCAGATGGGAAGCAAAAATAGTTCTTTATTACGACTAAATGTTAGTAGTTTCGTTTTGAAGGCGTTCAAATTGTAAAGCCATTTCTTACCCCATTTAACAACTGACTGAATATTATTTTCGATGGGATTTATCATTTTTACTTCGCCGGAACCATCGATCTTTTATCGCTAAAATGCGATGCTTCTGGATATCTGCAGTGCTATTGAAACAGAGAAACTGAAGAAATATTAATTTTTGCCATTCCACTTTATTAAATCGCCTCCCACGTACTCAAGGTGCCTATTTCAAATTAAACAGTGGAATTTAGATAGAAGCCAAGTATTAAGAAACAGGAAAATTTCGTTAGTGTTATAGTGGAACATATCTATTCTATAGTTAATAGACTCTCCCAACTTTAATAAGTAGGAGTAGTAAGAGTAACGAGGAGTCGCCCAGTGAGTTGGTCAGTCAGAACGACAGTTAGTCGAATACTAAAGCATCAGCGACCACAACTAGAGCCATTAAATATTCCAACTGGAATTGGAACTCGAATCTCTGATGAGCAATTCCGATCCGTTATCCATTTACAATGGTGCTCGGTAAAAATGTCAGCGGTAAAAATGTCAGAGGTAACAATGGCAGGGTAAAAATGTCCACGGTAAAAATGGCAAAAGTGGATAAATAGGAAAAAATGGCAATTCCACAACAGAAAAGTATGACCGTTCGAGAAGGATGGGTCTAAGCTCCCATCCCTCTAGTTTAAAATAGGACTAAGTCCCAACCCCTTAAAATAAATAATTTTAAATAGATATTTACTCTGATGGTGGGCGGAGCTTGTTTTAAATAGGGGCTAAATTTTGTTGGGGGGGAGCTAGGTTCATACTCCTAATTGCAGTAAAACCACAAATCGTAACGTGTTTAAGTGACTATAACTAATTTTATAATTGATAGCTGACATTAGGATTATATATATATATATATATATATATATATATATATATATATATATATAAGTGTATTAGTGTTTATATATATATATATATATATATATATATATATATATCCCATCCCTCTGGTTTAAAACAGGGTTAAGTACCCCCTCCTCAATATTTTAAAATAGATATTGAGGGGGGTAGCTAGACTCCTTCTCTTCTTGTTTTAAAGTTTTATTGGGGGGCGCTATGTTCCTACTCCTAATTGCAGTAAAAGCACAAATCGTAGCGTGTTTAAGTGAATTTGATGACTATAATTAATTTTATAATTGAAAGCTGACATTAGGATTAGATGTGCATATATATATATATATATATATATATATATATATAATGAGTGTACTAGTGTATATATATATAAAATAAGTGTATTAGTGTATATATATATAAGCGTATTAGTGTGTGTATATATATATATATGTATATAAAATAAGTGTATTAGTGTATATATATATATATATATATATATATATATATTAGTGTTGGGACGATTAATCGGAATCGAGGAATCGGAAAAATCGCAAAGGCGAAGGTTAGTAATCCCATTCACAGATTTCGTATTGACTCTCAGAGTCTAATTTAATTATTTTATTAGTAAATAATGGTAAACGAAGTATATATTCTAGAGTTCACTTAGCCTATTCCCTCAGCATACCTTTTGAATTTCTGTTCACACCTATTTGCTAAATGTCTATATGACGCCTCTCAGAGACTTCACACTTCTGTATTAAATGATTGAAAACGCATCAGACAAGATTTTAAATTTTACTGGCACCAGTCTGACCCTGTCGTTGTTTGATAACCTCTGAAATAATTAATGTTTTATTGGTTTTTTGTTGTTTCTTTTTTCGGTTTCATCAAGTGGACCTATAATTTTTTTCCCAATTTTTTCAGTGTGTTCAGGCGTAATCGCCTAAAAAGTAAAATCTCATGGGAGTGGGGGGGGAGCTGTAGCTGAATATTCTTTTTAATTTGACAAACTACTCATGTTTTTCCATTATGTATTGTATCCAAGATTTTAATAAACTCATATTGAGATATTCATCTATATTTTTTTCCTTTTGCCATTTTTTCTTATGTATCCATTTTTGCCATTTTTACCGTTGCCATTTTTACCGTTGCCATTTTTACCTATTTATCCCCTTTTGCCATTTTTACCTATTTATCCACTTTTGCCATTTTTACCGTTGCCATTTTTACCCTGCCATTATTTCCGTTGCCATTTTTACCACTGCCATTTTTACCTAAATTCATTTACAATACCCGCACGTCCAAACTGCACCTGGTATTCCCAAGCGATCACCCATCTAGGTACTAACCAGGCTCGACGTTGCTTAACTTCACAGATTGTACGGGAACCGGTGTTTCAACGTGAGGTATCCAAGTGTGTTACACTTTTATAAATCTATTATTCGTCCGTGCATTGAATATTACTATATCTGGTCTGGTGCTCCAGTTATATATCTCGATATTCCTACCAAAATCTAAAGAAGGATATGTAATGTTATCGGTCTTTACCTGGCATCTCGACTTCAGTCAGTTCCCCACCGCAGTGACGTGGCTTTAGCCTGTCTTTTCTATTAAAATGTTTAATGGCAATTGGTATAATGAACTCTTGTCTTTGGTACCTCGAAATTAACTGTAGTATTTAATACTCAACAAGACGTCATCAATTTACTGTTGAACTCACTAGCTGTAAAACTAAGTTCTATTGTAACAGTTTCTTTGCTCGCACTTCTCACCTCCGGAACTCACCTCCGGAACTCACTTCCGGTTTCTTGCTACCCTGGTTTCCAATGATTTAAGTACAACGTCAATCGCCATCTTGTGTCTTCCCGAAACCTGTTACATTGTCCTTTCTCCTTAGTAAAATCTTCTCATTCTCCTCACGTCTTACTGGTATTGTTATCTTGCTTGGGGAAGATGTTTAAGAACAATGAATACGGTAATTTTCAAATAATCAGATTGCTTTTAAAAAAAATGTATTGTACGTAACAGTTAAGTACATTAAGACAATCATATTGAACCTGAAATAATTCCAATGTAGCATACAACAAGCACTATGAATATTTTTAACATAGCTGGCGCTGTTTCTTGCATAACGCACCATTACTGTCAAAGTTCCTTTAGATTTAACCTCCTCAGTCAAACAAATCAGTCCACTGTTTCCACGTAATAAATAACGTTAAGAACTGTTGATTCTTTTGCTTGTTTTTATTATGTGTATTTTCTTATTTTCCATACTTTTTCAGGGAATTTAATTCTGTGTTAGAGCAAAACATTTTTTATTCCCACTAGCCAGTCTTTTAGCAACTTTCTTAATTGTATTTATGTCATTTTTACAAATTTTCTGTTTTTCTCGCCATGGGCTGTTCACGTCTATCACCTTCCTATCTTTTTTCATTCATTTATTCATTCATTCAGTCAATCAATAAGTCAGTCAGTCATATTTTAATTTTTTTTCTTCTTTCTTTATTTTTCTCACCTGTGTTTATTTCAGTGTTTCATTCATTTTTTTTTCAGTCTTAATTTTTTTTCGATTTTTATCAATTTGTCTTTTAATATTTTTCCCTATTTTTTTTTATTTTATTCTTTTCATTTCTTTTTCGTGTTTCTCTTTTATATTCTTTCTCCTTTTCTAACTACACTTCTTTTTACTTTTGTTTGTCTCTTCGTTCGACCTTTCTTTTCTTCCTTCCATATTCCAACTTTTATTTATTTACTTTTTTTATTTTTTTAAATGTTTTTTTTTGTTTTTTATTCTTTATTTCTTATTTTCTTTCATCCTCCCTCCTTCCATTCCATCTTCGTCTTTCTTTCTTTCAGTAATTCTTTTTTTCTTTCTTTCTTTCTTCAGTTTCCAGTTTTTTATTAGTACTTCCTTCTTCCCTTGTATCTACAGGTCTTTATTTATTCTTTCTTTCTCGTTCTTAATTTCTTTTTCTCCTTTCTTTCTTTATTGCCACCAACTCCTTCATTTTCTTTCTTTCTATCTTTTTCGTTCTCTTTCTTAATTACTTTTCCCTTTCTTTCTGTCTTTCTTTGCTTTTCTTTCTTTCTTTGCTTTTCTTTCTTTCTTTCTTTGCTTTTCTTTCTTTCTTTCTTTCTTTCTTTTTTCTTCTTTCTTTCTTTCTTTTTTCTTCTTTCTTTCTTTCTTTTTTCTTCTTTCTTTCTTCTCCTTTCTTTCTTTCTTCTCCTTTCTTCTCCTTTCTTTCTTTCTTTCTTCGCCTTTCTTTCTTTATTTCCTTCTTCTTTTCCTTCGTTATTTTTAATTTCTTTTTCTACTTTACTTCTTGCTTTCTTGCCACTTTCTTTTTCCGTTTCTTTCTTTCTGTCATTCTTTGCTTTTCTTTTCTTCTTTCTTTCTTTTTTCTTTCTTCTCCTTTCTTTCTTTCTTTCTTTCTTTCTTTGTGCAATTTCTTATTCAGTTTCTTAAAATAACCGTCCTATTTTCCGCTTTTATTTCAACAGTTTTTTCCATATTTCCTAAATTTTTCCTTTTTTTCTAAATTCTCTTTTTTGATTCTTTTTTTATTTAATTTTTATTTGATTTATTCCTTTTTTTTCCAGGAAAGGCCTTACAATTTATCAGCGTCCATTCGAGCCGTGAAAGCCGTGCAGTACTCAAGCGTATGACAGCCTCTACTGTCGATCGTCGGGTGCGGTAAGTGGTTTACCCATTGTGACACGGACCCATCCTTGCGAGTAGACATTCAACTTTTATGTGAAATCAGAGAGACGTCACGTCATGCAGACACGCCGGACATGTCAGATAGGACCATGAGCGTTCAATCACCGGACACTGGTCATCTATTTCTTCAGATGATGACCGTCAGAGAAACAAAGAAACACACCAATTGGACAGCAGTTACAAAAGAACGACACAGCGCACAAAAGAGACGATTTTATAATGTCTCCTTATTGTTAGCTAGAGAAAAAAAAATCTTAGGCTTTAATATAATCTGCGAAATGAATCCTTAAATCTGTTGCATTTGTTATATCCATTTTTTAATTATTTTACCCCAAGCAAGGCAACAAAGCCACTGAGACACTCGGGGTTCAGTCAGTTATTTGTCATACGTAATACACGCTTAGGCGATCATGTATATTGACTGACTAGGCAGATTTTCCAGCACTAGGTTGCCATTTTTTTTGTGCGGTAGACCAGTATCTATCCAAGGCTATATTTATCCTACTATTTACCCATAGCTGGGGGGGAGAGAAGAGGATTTATACCTTTCCCAAGGGTATTAGCACGTAAGTGAATGTAATGGATTCGACTGGAATTCGAACTCGGCTCTACGATTCCTCAATCCCAGCCGCTATCCACTACTCCACTGTGTGAAAAATATCAGAAGAAGAAAAGCATTATTAAGAAGTAAGAACAATAAAAGCACTTAATTTAAGAAGACGATTAAATTATGATAACGATTGACATTGCACATGATCTCATCAAATTACAGTTGAATTGGCTAAAAGAAACCGTAAATTCTGTGATAACAGTTTCTTTTCTCGCACTTCTCTCTTGTGGAACTCTCTTCCAGCTCCTTGCTTTCCTGTTAACATTAATCTTAAAAAATTAAAATGCAATGTCAATCGCTTTCTACTGTCTTCCTGGTTACACTTCTTTTGTTCTTAAGCCTTTCTGTATTCTAATTCTTCCACACTCCGTAATTTCCTTGTGTCTTCGCGGATTTATTGCCTTTTTTGGCGGTGAATACAATTAAAAAGAAAATTATTTTTTTTAAAGATCAAACTATTAATATTTTAAAATCAACAAAATTCAGTTAATTAAGCGATTACTAGAGATTTAACAAGAACAATATCCTATAGTAAATATCGCAGAAAAATTGTTTACACTATTAATCCACGAATAAAAAAACTAAAGTAGAAGATTACTGAATGAGGTTGTTTCATGGTTGTAAAAGGAGATGGCAGGTATATGAGAATATGTAGGATAGATAGTTGTCAATCTAAGACTTGAAGTGCTTACGTTTATTGTGTTCGGTGAAACATGATTCCGAGAGTTTGTTTCCCAAACTTCTTTCGAGGAAAGAGACTGAATGGGAATTCTTTCTTACTAATAAAATAAGAGAGAGAAGAGAGATGGTGATAAGTCAACCGTCTCTACGTGACATGGGGGCGGCTGGCTGTAAAGGTCTGAACTAGTGGAAATAAAGAATACAGATCGCCAAAACATCTGCCAGTGATAGCCTTGCGGCGTTAAATCAGTGCGAAAGCTTGTGAGGTTGGAAATTAATCACCCTACGAAGGCGACCATTTCCTCAGCATCTTTAAGACTTACGACCACGTCACCTTAAACATCGTATTTTGCACAATTACCGAAATGGAGCCACGTCGAGCCTGGTTAATACCTAGATGGCTGATCGCTTGTTGCTGCAAGCTTGGATGTGCGGGTGGTGTAATTGATCGAAATTGCTAATCGGAGATCCGTGTTCCAATTCCAGTTGGAATATTTAATGGCTTTAAATAATCGGCAAAGTGTTGATAAGCCGTAGAAATCGTATTAATCGAATTTGTGAGCTTGTACTTGCGGATGATGTAATGAATAATGGATATTTGGAATTGGAAATCGGAGGACCGTGTTCCATTTCCAGCTATCGGTTAATTATTATCTCAGAAAAAATTATCTCAAAAAATTTTACAATCTAAAAAAATATTTTCTGGCTTTAAATACCCTGAAAACGGTTAATAACATCAAAAAAAAATAATCATCAATCAATCCAATATCTTTAGCGATGAATCTGATATATGAGTTCCCCATCAGGTCTGAAGTGAGATTTCAAATAGATGTACATATTTTTTTGGGACATCAAATCTGGTGCTTCTGCTATGTATTTGAAGAGTATTGATAAAATACAAAGAATCATTTGCCTAATATGGCAAGTTGGCTTCAGTCACTTTTCCACCGCCGTAACTTACATTGACTATTATTATTTTGTTCTGATGAGCATTTCTCTTTGGCTGCTAGATTTTATGGATCGAAGCGCAGTACTAGATTGGGAGCTAGGTCTCATCATTTTACTGCTGAAATGGCTAAATGCAAGCGTAACAGTTACTTCTCTCGCACGTCACGCTTGGGGAATTCTCTTCCGACTTGTAGATTGCTTGTGCTGAAATTATTAAAAGAAATCAAGGAGCCCCTTTCAAAGTGCTGTCATTTATCCAGCAACAATTCTACTAAAGTCCGATTGAAATAGGATGCATTTGTGGAAATTGATTATGTATGGAGGCAATTTCTTAATATCTTTTTTCTACTTTATTTCTTTCTTTCTTGCCACCTTCTCCTTCCGTCTCTTTCTTTCTTTGCTTTTCTTTCTTTCTTTCTTTCTTTCTTTCTTTCTTTCCACCGTCTCCTTCCCCTTCTTTCTTTCTTTCTTTCTTTCTTTCTTTCTTTCTTTCTTTCTTTTTTCCACCTTCTTTCTTCTTTCTTTTCTTATTTTTCTTTTCTCCTTTCCCCTTCTTCTTTCTTTCTTTTTTTTTTCTTTCTTTCTTTCTTTCCACCCTCTCTTCCCTTTTTCTTTCTTTCTTTTCTTTGTTTGTTTGTTTGTTTCTTTCTTTTTCTTTTTCTTTTTCTCTCGTTTCTTAATTTACACCGTCTCCTTTTCATTCATTCATTCATTCTTTCTTTCTTTCTTTCTTTCTTTCTTTCTTATATTCTTATAGGGTGATATTGTTTTATCGAGAGCTTCATAGTCTTCCAATGGACAAGAGAGTCGGTATAAATGGTAGGTTTTAAACATTTTTTTTTATCGCTTATGCAGTTGTACTAGCAGCTGGCAATTGTCTTGTTAGCCAAAATCTGACAGAAATTAGTACTAAATTAGAAGCGGCAACCTAGATTAAAGGTGTTGAAAAGCTTAATGTTGCATACCAATTGACTAATCCTTTGAGAGACTGTGTCTCGTTTAATAATGCAAAAATCATCACAGTATATTGGTTATTTCACAATACACCTCTCGAGAATACTGACCTGTCATCTCTCCAACTAAAGTGTCATATGTAAATATTTAACACAATGCCATGTGCCTCTTTTTGATTCTGTCAGATTGGTGGACAATACAATTCAAGGCAATACAATAAAAGTATATATACAGTGTAACCCGGATATAAGAGAAACCCGGATATAAGAGAGATTTTCTCTGGTCCCAAATTAGAGCCTGTATCAATGTATATATAATAGACCAAACCCGGATATAAGAGAAACCCGGATATAAGAGACTTCTTCTCCGGTCCCGACAACTCTTTATATCCGGGTTACAAAACTATATATATATATATATATATATATATATATATATATATACATATATATATAAGGAGGGACGGAGGATAGCGGCTCGGATTGACGAATCAGAAGCCGAGTTCGAATTCTAGTCGAATCTATTACATTCACTTACGTGCTAATACCCTTGGGAAAGGTATGAATTCTCTTCTTCTCCCTCCAGCATTGGGTAAATAGTAGGACAGACTGGGTTCTACAGAACTGGTTTAGAAGAAAGACAACTCTGAATTCAAAACCTGCGGAGGGTCGTTTGGGGACCTTGTGGCCTTCAAAAAGCTCGATTGGTTCTGCACAAAGCCTTCACCAATATAATCACAATATATGGGCTGGTGTCTGGACTGTCAGTTCCTTGGAACTGAACTCATACGACGGAAGAGTTTGTCCTCATACGACGGAAGACACACACACGCACACACACACACACACACACACACACACACACACACATATATATATATATATATATATATATATATATGTATTATTGTTCATTGAATACGATGCCCAAGAGACACTCAAGGTAGATGCTTACTGAATGATGTTGTTTTAGAGCGTGAAAGAAATCATGTATGTAGGATGGATATTGTCTAACCCTACTCGTTAAGATATGACTGGTCGGGGAAGCACTATCCCGAAAGTCTGCTACACAAAGTAACAGTTCTGGAGAAGAAGCTGCTTGAAGGGAACTTCTTCCTTACGAATGGTATACGAAGGGAATGAGAATGCGTCGACCCTGTGTATGTAGTATGAAATGTTGGAACTAAGGAATAGAGCTTTTCTGAACATTGGATATACGCGCTCGTGTACCGCATGTTAAACAACTAACCGTGTGTCGCATCTCGTCTCTGTAGGGAGCAATGAGTTGATACCTGTTTGCCGCGTTCCAGAGACTATAGGTATATTGTAGTAGCTGTTTTGTGGTCATAGCCAGCTTAGACAAACTTTTTGCCCGATGCCGCGCAAAGAGTGGTTGAGTAAAAAATGACCAATATTTTGACCAGTGACCCCAGTGTGCAGTTTCTCCACGAACTGATTTGTTCCATCCCGCCGCAGCCCAAGTATTTGTTCCACGTAAGCGGGAGCTGAATAAATTTTGACCAATCAACCGAGCTCAGGTTTCCTATGTTAAA